TCGGTGTTGGGGATCGGATCAGACATCGGTGGGAGCATCCGCCTGCCCGCCAGCTGGTGTGGAGTGGTGGGCATCAAACCCACCGCTAAGAGGATGTCTAGGAGGGGACTCGTTGGGGCCCTCAGGCCTATTGGCAGTAAGTTATCATTTTAGGAACTATGCAATTACATGCAATAACACAGTATCAATCGGCGACTGGCCAACCCGGCCTATTCTTCAGCGCCGATGTTTCTATGCTATGCTATGGAGTCATGAACTTCCGCTAACTATAATAGTGGTACTCAATCGACCTTCGTTATATAAGAGCATTTTACCTAATGAATATCGGTTTTAAATAACCATAAAACGTCATCAAATGCAATAAAACAGTTGCATTTAATAATAAAATTAATGAAAATTTAGCTTTCTTATACTACCAAATTCCATATAATTTGCTGCCATCAAATGAGATAATGAGTTTAGTTAGTATTTTAGTAAGTATTTGGTTTAGTGTTTAGTAAGTATTTAGTTTTTGGGTGAGACTGGAAGTTGATCTGATCTGATGCTCATGAATCTTATCCTTAAAGCTAGATTAATAATCCAACCCGTTGTTATAGTCTAAGACGAAAAATTATATTAGTAAACCAGTTTATAAATCGCTTTGAAGAATTCTAACTCGACAATTATTGTTCAGTATTTGGAACCTGGGGCTTAATGGGCAAAGACGGGGCTTTTGTGGCCGAGGCGACCAAGGCGATTTTCTCCGCGGCCGACTTCCATGCCTGCGATCCGGAGGTGCCGCCTCTGTCCTGGAACGACAGCGTCTACCTGTCCAAGAAGGCCCTCCGTGTCGGATGGTTCGACTCGATATCCCTCTTCCCCAGCACTCCGGGGGTGAAGCGCGCTGTGGCGCAAGCCGTGGCGGCCTTCGAGGTTAGTGAAGCGCGCTGTGGCGCAGGCCGTGGCGTCCTTAAATGATAGTGAAGCACGCTATGGCGCAGGCCGTGGTGGCCTTCGAGGTTAGTGAAACGCGCTGTGGCGCAGGCCATGGCGACCTTCAAGGATAGTGAAGCGAGCTGTGGCGCAGGGCGCGGCGGTAACATGTCGTAAGCATTGAGAGAACTAATTGAAGTCTTTCGATGGTACTTGCAGGCTCTAGGCCACGAAGTGGTCGCGTTTCCTGAACAAAATTGGATGGAAGTCCTCGACATTTTCGTTCAATTACTCTTTGCCGACCAAGGAAAGTGTACGGATCCTCTGCTGGATGGCGAAACTGTAGACAAAGAACTTCTGTGGTACAGATCGTTTGCTGCGGTGCCGCCCGACCAAACTGAAGATCGTTGTCCCGAACTCCAACGACAGTTTGGAAGCATAGCTGTCCAGCACAGCTTTGGTAAGTACTGTTATCAAATTCTAATTTGCTCTTGAGATGCATATTAGTGCTTTTTTTGAGTGATGTGGGAAATTTGCTTTTTTTTAATTATCTGACTGTTCCAGGCAAATTATCTAGCTGCACAGATTTGTGGAAGAAGATGATGGAGAGAAGCGTGTTTGTCAACACATTTTACCAAAACTGGAATTCAAATGGGCTGGACCTGCTATTATGTCCCGTCTATCCGTCTCCTGCGCCCAAGACTGAGCAAGTCGGAATAATAACTTGTAAGTAAAGTAACTGTATTTAAAAATAGTGCTTCCAATATCCGTCAACACCTTTCCAACGATGTCATTATTCGTGATCATAACAATCATGCACAGTGCAGTTTGGCAATTTGCCCATAGAGCACATAAACAGAATAAAAATAATCATATGTCTTTATCACATAATTATGCCTACTTTTTTACCTATTCGACATAGTCTCTATGGTGCTGACCTTGATGTTCAACGTTATGGACTACCCCGCCGCTGCCGTGCCTGTCACTCGGCAAACCCAAGAAGACGAGCTAGACATTGCCAACTATTCCTGCACCGACAAAATCCATGATCTAATTAAGCAAGTTGGTTTTACGTGGCATTTCATTTAGATGATGATGTGTGTCACTTGAACTGTGCGGAATTTAATCATCATATGCATCACCTGAAGTGGTATGGTAGTGACATTCATTCAAATTTCTTAACTCTGGGAAATTTCTATAATTTTTGTAATTAACCGTATATATTTTCTCATTTAAGCTTTCCTAGCAAACTTGATTGTGTAAGAGTAGAGGTAGTTGAAATATCTTTTAGTTGGATGAGGAGTTCTATGACTAAATATTGAAAGAATTTCATGTGGCTTAATTCAAACGATTTGCAGAAAAACTGCGGAAACGCGAATTTAGTAAGCACCTCATTCACACAGGACTCTTGTTCCATAGAAGTTGTGGTTCATGTAATAATTTGTTGAAATAAATTCAATTTTTTTGGTATGTGAACGGCTTGCATATGAATAAACTTTTAGGCGCAGCGCGAGTGCTCGGTGCTCGCAATTCTTTTTAAACACGCTAACGCTGTAAAGAAAACATTGCTTTTTACGACAGCTCCACGTGTAGTTGCGAACACCCACTACCACCTAATTTCGCCTTTTTCGCCTACCACCTAGAGAGAAAGCGCTTTTAGGTGGATTTTACTGCAAAGTTTTCATGTTTTATTGTCGATTTGTCCACGGCGTAGGCGCTGTCAGTGACAGCTTTCAAATTGGTAGATTTGTCGTTGAGTGTGATAGCGGAAGACGAGGAAGCGACAAACGCTGGCCAGAGAGAGGAATATTTGAAGAGCGACGAAGAGAGAGAAGTTCTCAGGACAGAGGGATATACCCTCAGATCTTATTGTGAAGGGCTATTTCAAGCTGGTATTATTTCATTCAAATTTACTATTTTCCCGCAACAGAACGGACGTGACGCTGTAGGCCTGCCTCTCGGCGTTCAACTTGTGGCGCTGCCATACGGCGAAGAACTGCTGTGCCGGGCCCTAGCCGAGCTGTCCAACTCCCTCAAATATAAATACTGAGCTGCAGCTTTACTGCATGGAGCTGCTGTGCCGGGCTATAGCCGAGCTGTCCAACTCCCTCGAATATAAAAACTGAAGTGCTGCACAGCATTAGCTCCTGTACCGGTCCCTAGCCAAGATATCCAACTGACCAAACTACAAATAGTGAACTGCTACACTGCAGGAGCTGCTATGCAATATAGCGACTAATATATATAATATAGTGACTGGAATTCATAATTAGCACAATCATCAATTTTGAACGTCATAATTATTTGTATTAAATTCCCTAGCTCGTTGAACACTATTTTTTGTATCTTCGTGTAACTTTATTAGCTGACATTCATCTTATTTACTTTAATGTTCTCTGTTGTTCAATTATAAACTTTTAAATAATGGTATGAGAATCATATTGCTATGTCATCACCCACGCAGGTGTTGGTCGGCGCAGCATTCTCCAATCCATCAATAAACCTATTTAATCTTCAGATTTTTTTACCCTAACACACATTATATGTATTTACACTGATTAATTAGGAGAAGGACGGCCGTTTGTAACTTCTACATTCAATTTCAAACCGTTTAGCCACCTTTTTCTTCAGAACTCTCAACCATAAATACTAAATTGCCGCCCAACTTAAGGAACCAAAGCTCGAATGATACACTGCATGCAACAGCAAAATGTAACTTGGCATAAAGATACCGATCTCTATGTTGATACCGACTCCAAAAACAATTGCCCTGTACTCCTGGATATATAGTAAATTTGCACTTCAATGAGTTCATCGAAATATTCGCAATTATTCAACTCCTCCACAACATCGAATATTAAATCCTCTATGAATCGCTATTATGAACGGTGATTTGGACAACCACAGAAGAATTTTTTAGAAACTCCCAGGATAGGTGCGAACTTGGCTTGATTTTCAGCGTATTGTTAGCCTAGCGGTTCACTTTTCTTACTGGGTTAAATGCTTTCTTTCTCCAATTTATGTAAGTCCAGCCCGTGCTTGTCAGTACTCTACAGGTTCTTCCTAACAGTTGAAACTCCAACTTATTCTCTCCTTCAGACAGTGGTCCCTTTAGAATGATTTCTCGTGCCCCAATTAAAACTCTTTTTCGATTCGCGTCAAATGAAAGAGATGTCGTGACCGGAATTTCTACGTTCATGATACCCTTATCTCGTCGACCACTGTAGGGAGAAAACACTCTCAAAATCAATCAGATGAAAACGATGCCAAAATATGAATGTATGTATGATGGTTGTAGAGGTGGGGGCCTCCTGTTTTATGTGAGGGCAAGGACGTTTGGTTTGAATTAACCTACTTACAGGTGGAATTAGAGGAGGGAAGATAAATGTTTTGTTTAAGTGTGATGGGGGTAAGAAGGAAACTGTAGAGCGCTTGTTAATGGAATGTGGGGCGTGTGTGAGAGAGAGCGACAGCCAATGATGAGGTGACTCTGAAGAAGGGAGGTGAAATCAACGAAATGGGGTATGAGAGAATGAAGGAGGAGTGGATAGCAATGATTGTGGATCTGTCTGAGGGAGCAACTGTGGCTATGTTTGAGAGTGTGAAGAGATATTTGGAAACGGACGTGTGGTGGATGAGGGAGAGGAGACGGATGGTAAGAGTGGGGTCTTGAGAAGTGGAGGGTTGAGAGAGAGGAGGGTGGGAAAGCAAAGATGACGGTGCCAAATGTTTTAGTACATTTTCTCTGTTGTTTTTATGATGTTTTCATGCATAACTGAATGTTTTAGTCATCTAGGATTGCAGCGAATACTTATTAATTTAGCTTTTTGTTGACTGCTGATTGCGATGTGAACTTTAAAACTTTTTTCACGCTAGTAAAAGATTTTTTATGCGGCTTGAATGATCGATCTAAAGGTCAAGAGTTACAAGCTACTAGCTACTTTACTAGAATCTAGCTTACGTTAGAGTTATGCTGGGAGCGTGCTGTGATACAATACTAGTGTTATCAATTAAAATAGGGAAACGGTTCGAGATATCGTCTCAGATCTGCATCTGAGGGGAAAGCATCGTTGATATCAGCAATATTCCTTCACTCTCGAATGCTTACTAGTGATTTTGGCAGGGGAGGTGAAGTGATCTGCTAAATCGGTCGATCTTTACCACGTGTCCTGTCTCGCCTAGGTTTCTACACGGTATCGATTAAGGTGAGCGTCTAGATATAGGTAACCAAAGTAATGCTAGTTATGTCTATACTAGATACCTTAATAAAAGGGTTAGGATTTTCCTGAACGGGCGTTTCAAATAAAATCGATTGTCGCGCGAGTTCATCGACGCCAAGGTCGCCATATTGGTTTCTGAACTAACTCCTAGTAGAAAAATCTAGGGGGCAGAGTATCAAGTAGACAAATCTAGGGGGTAGGCTATCAAGATAATGATAATTGTGAACTGCTATGAATGATCAACGAGAGATTAACTATCTGTGAGTGACACAACTGAGTCAAGAATCCATAGTTCCTAAATATGGCTATACGTATTCAAGAGAAGCTAGACGCAGGGAGCGTCGTAGGTGGCGCCAATTAGGGCTGTTAGAGGCCTCCGCCATATATTAATCGTAGCGGGTGCAGAGACGTTTGGGGATTTCGAATGCTTTACTTGTAAAGTGAACGTCGCGAAATATAGCTCGAAGTTCATGAAATGACTATAAAAATTTAGAATACTATTTCATAATAATCTTTAAGTAGCAACGAGTTTTAGACGCGATTCGAGGAGCTCAAGATTGTCAACAATTGGATTAAGATTGTCAAGATTGGGTTAGCTATGGCAGAGTAGATCCTCTAATTTACATTTCAGGACACGGCTGCTCACATTCTCGTTATGCTAAGGTTGGCACATATTTGATGCGAATGAATGGGGACGCTTATAACTGAAAGCTACTTATCACTAAGGGATAAATCCAGGCTGGCGTGGGGAAGAGTAACACTGGTCCTCACGATACGTCACTGCCGAGCAGACTGGGGCTTTGGAGTTTGGATGTGCATAGTGCGCCAAGCGGGGCTTGCTGTCCCGAAGAAAGCGGGGTGTCGTTTGAGGTAGTCTGTGTTATAATCCTTCTGGGAATAGGTGGAAGGTGTGGATTGAGCTGACGAGCGTCCTAGAGTGACGTCACATAATTATTGTAGTAAGATAAGCCGGGATTACCTATGTGCTTTTTTAATGCTAAATCGGGGCTACATGCGAGTGGAATTGGAATTTGAGTGCGTGCTGACCTCCGGTCAATATCTTTAGATCGGTCATTCACGCTGCATAAAAAATATTTTACTTGCGTAAAAAAGTAAAAGTTCACGTCGCACTCGGCAGTCAACAGAGAGTTTAATTAGTAAGTATTCTTTGCAATCTTGAAAGACAAGAACATTCAGATAAACATGACAACATTGTGAAAAAAAAATAGAAAAAATGTACTAAAACATTCGGCACGTTCACCTTTGCTTTCCCACCCTCCTTTATCTCAACCCTCTACTCCTCAAGACCCCACTCTTGCCATCCTCCTCCTCTCCCTCATCCTCCACACCTTTTACAAATATCTCTTCACACTCTCAAACACAGTCACAGTTGCTCCTTCGCACAGATCCACAATCATTGCCATCCACTCCTCCCTAGAGGAATAGTGGAGTAGAGAGTATCATGAACTTAGAAATTCCGGTCATAAAATCTTTTTCATTTAAAGGGAATCGAAAAAGAGTTTCGATTGGGGCACGAGAAATCATTGCAAAAAAAAAAATTCTGAACGAGAAAATAAGTTGGAGTTTCAATTATTAGGAAGAACCTATAAAGCTCTGGCAAGCACGGATTGGACTTCCAAAATTTGAAAAATAAATTATTTAACCCAGTAAGAAAATTGAACCATTGGGTCAACGATACGCTGAAAATCAAGTCAAGTTCGTACCTATCCTGGGAGTTTCCAAAAAATTCTGTGGGTGTCCAAATAACCGTACATAATGGCGACTCATAGAGGATATAATATTCGATGGTGTGGATGAGTTGAATAATTGCGAATATTTTGAACAACGCCTTGGAGTGCAAATTTACTGACTATCCACCAGCACCAGGCACCAGGTTTTTGGAGTCGGTACCGACATAAAAATCGCTATCTCAATGCCGAGTTACATTTTGCTGTTGCATGCAGTGTATCATTCGAGCCTCGGTTCCTTAATTTGTGCGGAAGTTCAGTATTTGCAGCTGAGAGTTCTGAAGAATGAGGTGGCTAAACGCTTTGAGATTGGATTTAGAAGTTTCAAATGGCCGTCTTTCTTGTAATTAATTAGTGTAAATATGTATTATGTAGGTTTGGGTAAAAAATACGCAGATTAAATATGTTTATTGATGGATTGAAGAATGATGTCGCCGGTCAACATCTTCGTGGGTGATGGTCGTTTAAATAAAGACATGACATAGCAATATGACACTCTTACAATTTTTTAATTAGAAGTTTACAATTGAATAATAGAGAACATATAGAGAACAATGAACTAAGTAAGATGTCTCTTAGCTAAATGAAGCTACAAAAATTGTGTTCAACGAGCTAGGAAATTTAATAAATATAATTGTGACGTTCAAACTAAATGATTGTGCGAGTTACTAATTCCAGTCATTAGAGTTGTACAGCTCGGGTAGGTCCCAGCCTAGCAGCTAGTGTAGTGTAGCAGTTCAGTATTTGTAGTTCGGTGATTTGGCAAGCTTGGCTAGGGCACTACAGAGCAGCTCCTGCAAAGCTGCAGCTCAGTATTTATATTTGAGGGAGTTGGACAGCTCGGCTAGGTAAAAAGAATTGCGAGCACTCGCTGCGCTGAAAAATTTGTTCATATGCAAACCGTTCACGAACCAAAAGCAAAAAAATTGTTAATTTAGTTCTTCAACAAATTATTACATGGACAACAACTTATGTGTACCAAGGGTCCAGTGTGAACGATGTGCATACTAAATTCGCGTTTCCGCAAATTTTCCTACAAATCGTTTAAATTAGGCCACATAAAATTATTTTCATATCTAAACATAGAAATGATCATCCAAATAAAACATGTTTCAACTGCCTCAACTCCTACACAATCAAGTTTGCTATGAAAGCTCACAAGAGAAAGTCTAAACGGTAAATTACAAAATTATGGAAATCTCTCCGAGTCAAGAAATTTGAAGGAATGTCACAGTCGCTTCGAGTCACCGACATGTGGAACAGCCTCCCTGATAGCATCGTTGACGCTCCGAGTATGAACGCCTTCAAGAACAGACTAGACGAAGCTATGCAGGAGCATATGTTCAGTCTTAAAATGCCTAGCAAATTACGGACCAGGCAATAAGTCCAGACGAAGCTATGCAGGAGCATATGTTCAGTCTAAAAATGCCTAGCAAATTACGGACCAGGCAATAAGTCCACCAGCTATCTCAATCAATCGTCAGTTATGGAAAGATCGGGTTCCAAAGGCTGGATCCCTTGTGAATCAAGTTACGAAAAATTCAAGAACTGGCAACAGGCCATGGGCCTATTTCTTCAGTGCCGACACTTCTATTCTTCTATTCTATTCTTAAACATACCACTTCAGTATATACGAATATGATGATTCAATTTCGCACAGTTTTAATGAAACACATCACTCGAGATGAAATGCCACATAAAACCAACTTGTTTAATTAGATCATGCATTTTGTCGGTGCAGGAATAGTTGGCAATGTTTAGTTCGTCTTCTTGGGTTTGCCGAGTGACAGGCACGGCAGCAGCGGGGTAGTCCATGACGTTGAACATCTGGGTCAGCACCAGAGAGACTGTGCAGAATAGGCAAAATAGTAAGCATCAATATCTGATAAAGACATATGATTATTTTTATTCTGTTCATGTTCTCTGCGGGCAAATTACAGAAATGTAGTGTGAATATGATTGTTATGATCACGAATCATGGCATTGTTGGAGTTGTGTTGACGGATGTTGGAACCACTTTTTTTAAATACAGTCACTTTACTTACAACTCAACATTCCGACTTGCTCAGTCTTGGGTGCAGGAGATGGAAAGATTGGACATAATAGCAGGTCCAGCCCATTTGACTTCCAGTTTTGGTAAAATGTGTTGACAAACACGCTTCTCTCTATCATCTTCTTCCACAAATCTGTGCAGCTAGATAATCTGCCTGAAACAGTCAGATAATTACAAAAAATAAAATCAAGCCAATTTCTCTACATCACTCAACGAAGGCACTACTATGTATCTCAAGCGCAAATTACAATTTGAAAACAGTTCTTACCAAAGCTGTGCTGGACAGCTACGCCTCCAAACTGTCGTTTGAGTTCGGGACAACGATCTTCAGTTTGTTCGGGCGGCACCGCAGTAACCGATTTGTACCACAAAAGTTCTTCGTCTACAGTTTCGCCATCCAGCAGAAAGTCTGTAAACTCCCCTCGGTCTGCTAGGAGTAACTGAACGAAAATATCGATGATTTCCATCCAATTTTGCTCAGGAAACGCGACCACTTCGTGGCCTAGAGCCTGCACGAACAATCAAAAGACTTCAATTATTTCTGTCAATGCTTACGACATGTTACCGCCGCGGCCTGCGCCACAGCGCGCTGCACTAACCTTGAAGGTCGCCACGGCCTGCACCACAGCGCGTTTCACTAACCTCGAAGGCTGCCACCTCCTGCGCCACTACGAGCTTCACTAACCTTGAAGGCCACCACGGCCTGCGCCTCAGTGCGTTTTACTAACCCCGAAGGCCGCTACGGCCTGCACTACAGCGTGTTTTACTAACCTTGAAGATCGTCACGGCCTGCGCCACAATACTCTTCACTAACCTCGAAGGCCGCCGCTGCCAGCGCCTCAGCGCGCTTCACTGGCATTCAAGGCCGCCAGGGCCTGCGCCACAGCGCACTTCACAAACCTGGAGTCGCTACGGCCTGCGTTATAGCGCGCTTCACTAACCTAGAAGGCCACCACGGCTTGCGTCATAGCGCGCTTCACTTACCTTGAAGGCGGCCGCCACGGCTTGCGCCACAGCGCGCTTCACTAACCCTGAAGGCCGACACAGCGCGCTTCACTAACCTCGAAGGCCGCCACGGCTTGCGCCACAGCGCGCTTCACCCCCGGGGTGCTGGGGAAAAGGGATATCGAGTCGAACCATCCGACACGGAGGGCCTTCTTGGACAGGTAGACGCTGTCGTTCCAGGGCAGAGGCGGCACCTCTGGATCGCAGGCATGGAAGTCGGCCACGGAAAAAAGCGCCTTGGTCGCCTCGGCCACAAAAGCCCCGTCTTTGCCCATTAAGCCGCTGGTTCCAAATACTGAATAACAGTAGAGTTAAAATTCGTTAAAGCGATTTATAAACTAGATTATTTATATGATTTTTTGTCTGAGACTATAATAACGGACTGGATTAAGAATCTAGCGATACGGATAGGATTCGATCATGAAGCATCAGATGAGATGACTTCCACATGTCATCCGACAACTAAATATTTCGGATTTAGTCAAGTTTAGTTTTATCAGTGAACTGGGAAAGATGGAGTCAAAATAAATTCCTACACTTGTAGACCGCCAAAAGCCATCAATAGCTATATAGGTCCGATTATTTAATTATATAATATAGCGATATAGCGATTAGAGCATCGGTGAGCATGACTTAAGTTAAGTATTTTACAGAATAGACGCAGTTTGAGGGTGAATTAATTAATCACTTGAGTTATGAAAGTTATTGGAAGTTAGAGACTTGGAGTGAAGGTGTTGAGAAGGCTACAGAAATTTGGGTTGAACTGTGTAAAGCTTGTATTAGGAGCGATTGTTCTCGAGACCGTGAGACCGAGGGTTTGTTCTTAGTTTGGAATGGCGATGGTATCAAAGGGCTGACCCTAGTGGAAATCGAAACTGTCGCGGCGTCCCGTGATAGGCTTATGTGTGCGCGATGTTCTTCTATATAAGCAGATTAAAATTTGCGCCAAAGGTTGTTCTTCTGATGTCACGATCACGGGTACGGTCTGCAGTCTGCAGACGTTGTGACGACCGCGGCCGTGAGGCCAGCGGTTTCGCCGTTTTCGAACTTTAGCTGTCGCGAGAAACCTGGACTCACCGAGGCAGATACGATTCCTGCGAGCACGTCAAAAATTAACAAGGAACGACCATGACTTCGCCATATGTGTACGGTCAACATCATTGCTACCTACGGCTGAGACTCAGCCGTGAGACAACGCGAGAAGCCACGAGTTGCCCAACGATTATAACACCGGCAATTATAGAGATTCAAGTACAGAGTACTGTGCAACAATTATCATCCGTAACAGTCATCATCAGCCGCAGTACGGCAACGAACTTAGAGTAATATCATCGACTATGAAGACGAACGCCGCTATTCATAAGTACAGTCGTTACAAGAAACATCCGGCCAGACTGACCGTGAGATATCAATTTCAGCGAGACACGACGGTTAGGAAGAACAGCGACCGAGGGGACGCGCGGCTACAGCTGCGGTACGGCCACTGGGAATACGGCTGCAAACGCGCACGCGAGGGACGGTAGTTGCTGGAGTCGTACCATTCTACGGGAGCATTCTACGGTTCAACGTTTTCTGGTAAAAGTAGAAGATTTTAGTGATTTAACTGATTGGTTCTCAATTTCGATGGTGTTCGAACTTGCTTTTTCTTGTACTAAAAATTTTTGTTTATGGAGGATGTGAACTTGAATTTCCCAATTTAATATGAAATGTACCAGTGTTTCATCGCGACCCTCTTTCTGTACTTTTGTTGTCGTAAACCTATTTATACGAGGACTTACTACGTGCCTAAAATTAAGCCAGCACGGAAACCAACCTGACAGAATTAAAGCAATTGACAATCGAGCGATTAAACCCGAATTCTTCAATATCGGTAATAAATTTCCATAAACCACAAGGACAACTCAATTCTAATCAATAGTTCCCATAATTTAGTTATATAATATAGCGATATATGTCCCATTATATAGCTATATTATATAGCGATATAGGTCGCAATATTTAGCTATATACCGATAATCTATGCAATTATCAAGCGATACCAAGAGTACCTAAATATTATTACCTTTCATTGCGAGTTCAATTCAAGTGTTGCTTTGAATGAGATATTTTGCAATCGAATATCTATTGAAAAATATATACAAATACAGTTTGAAAATTGAATTCAGTTGGATTCGAGATGCCGAAATTTCAAAAATAACAGCGATTATTCTTTCCGAGCATTGCTGAGTTAATTAATATACTACTATTGCAGTAAGAAATTTTTTTACATTCAAAAGTTACTTGCAAAGCTTCAGAATATCCGACTTGCTGAATGAGAAAAACTCTTAAAAATAAATATTACGAAGATTGATTCTAGCTGCTTGTATTAATGAATAGATTTGGATGAGTATACACAAATTGAAACAAAATAATAAAGGCCTCGGACTACGATTTGAATTAGGTTGATGAAAGAGACTGCTTGTTTTAAATCAAGGACATAACAATTAATGTCGCATTCATTATCTTATTTGATGGCAACGAATTAAAATGCATTTGATAACATATGAAAGCTAAATTTTTACGTTAACATCAAATGCAACTATTTTATTCTATTTGATGACGTCTCATGGTAATATAAAACCTATACTCATTAGGTAGAATGCTCTCATATAATAGATGTCGATTGCGTACCACTATTATAGTTAACGAAAGTTCATGACTCCGTAACATAGCATAGAAACATCGGCGTTGAAGAATAGGCCGGGTTGGCGTGTCGCCGATTCCTACTGTGTTATTGCATGTAATTGCATCAATCTTAAAATTTCGACTTACTTCCAACAGGCCTGACAGCCCCGACGAGTCCCCTCCTAGACATCCTCTTAGCGGTGGGTTTGATGCCCACCACTCCACACCAGCTGGCGGGCAGGCGGATGCTCCCACCGATGTCATTTCCGATCCCCAACACCGAACCTCCGCCGCTGATGAGAACCCCTTCCCCGCCTTGGAAAATTTGGTAAAATATCAAAATTTACGTCCTATCTGTAACAACGACCCAAGTCTGATGAGAACCGTGGTGGTGGTGGCGGTGCCACTAGGAAATGTGGAAAAAAACAAGAGGTGGCTCAGGGTGGCCAGAAAGAAGGGGAAACGGAAACAACAGTAGGAGGCTAAAAGGCGCTTAGCGCATAATTCGGTTTAAGGATATGTCCATGGGGTTTTTTCCCGGGTCTGGGGAGTAGAAAACCCGTCGGGGCTTTGAAGGGTCACGTGGAGTTTTTGGGCTTTCGGTTCGTTGAGCGGTTGCTAGACCAGCGCGATGATGGATGAAGATGAAGATGAAGATGATGATGCAGATGAATGATGGGTGATAGTGGTGTATGCTTAGTGTTGTGTTGTTGTTTTGGACCAGCTACACCCATCCGCGTTATGAACAACTTCGTCTGGGTGCAGCATGGTCCGCTGTGTGTATAGTGGTAGGGATGAGGGGTTATCTGTAGTGTTTAGTTTTGGAGGTGTTGGTAGGTGTTATTTGTATATTGCTGGAGGTTTAGGGCCTAATGCCATCATTTTGGAGCTTCGAAATTGCTGGTGTTGCTTGTTTACTGCGTCTGGTGGGAAAGTTAGTTGGTTTATAAGATCGGGTGTGTAAGTGGCTATTGTGTTCCAGGTTTTCCGCGCCTGTTCNCTTGTACCCCTTGTATCTGCGACTGGTTGCAAAGAAACCGCATTCGTGAGCCCGCATGATTGGACATATGCACTTCATCAAACTACATCTGTCTCTTATACACATCTAGATGTGTATAAGAGACAGGGGTGGAGTGATGTGTGATGTTATTCATGTGTTCTTGGATGGTGTTAATGTGTTCAGAATCAAACTCTTCATTATCGGTTTCGGTAAATATGTATTGCCAGTGTTCTCTGAATATAGGTTCCTTTTGTTCTGGTGTATTCAATCTAATGTTTTTGTGCTTAAGGTATGGGACTATTTGTTTCGTGTTGGGGCCTGTCATTCTTTAGACGGATTCCAAAAACTTTTGGGTCTTCTTTGAGTTCTAGTGCTGATATGAGGTCTTGCCATGTTTTTGTTTGTAGTTTTAGGTAGGCAGTTTGCAGTTGAGAGCGTAGTGAATGAAGTTGTCTATTCAGCGCTATTGATGGACCATGTATTTGTACGTGGTGAAAGGTTGCTTGGTATTGAGTTTGAATTAGGAGTGTTTCGTGATTCGGTTTTATGCCAGGAATTATCCGGTGTGTGGTGTTGGGAACGGCAAAGTCTGAGGCATGTGGTACTAGCTGTGTCCATTTTCTGAATGCTCATCTATTTCTTCTAGCTTTGGGTCTGGCGTTGAGGGTACTTGTTGATGTTTGAGCAAGTCTTTGTATAGGGTCCAATTTGCTTTATGGAATGATTTACGTGGTCGGATTGGGATTTGAATTGGATTTGCCGACATTGTGGCAATGATTGGGATGTGGTCCGAAGATGTTATTGGTCCTGGTTGGAGATGTACGTTGTGAAATGCTTTGTTGTTTTGAATTACTCTATCTGGGGACGTCGTGCTTTTATGGGTGATATGAGTGGGAAATAGGGACCTATGTGACAGCATTTGTTTTGTGCGATAAGCGTGTGTAGCTGTCTGCCTGTGAGGTTGGATCTGGAGTTTCCCAGCGAGGGATGGTTAGCGTTCAAATCGGCGAAAAGGTAAACCAGATGCGGTCTGTTAATGAGGGTGCGGAAGTCTATGAAGTTTAGGTAACCGGTTCGGGGAGGGATGTACGTGGTTCCTATAGTGATAGGTTCTTGTAGGGTGTCTATTGTTACGGCTAGCATATCAGAATGGAAGTTGTCGTGTAACTTGTAGGGAATGTGACTCTTGACAGCGACGGCAGCACCGGCGGGTTGGGCGCTGTCTTTATTGGTTGTGTGTGTGTGGTAGTTGAAGATTTTCAGAGGAGTGCTGTTAGTGAGGGAATGGTCGTTCAGCAGAATGATATCAGGGTCGATGTTGTTGTAGATGTTGGCGAGTGCGAACTTTTTGTTGGTCCAAGTTTGCACATTGTGTTGGATAATTTTTATTGAACGCTGTGGTGTCATGTTGGGGAAGAATGTTTGGTAGTGGATGCCTTTGATTTCTTAAAGATTGATGTTGTGGTAGTGTGGGGGCTCATGGCGTCGAAAGCGTCGTGGGGGATGATGTTTATGTGAGGTCTGTCTAGGTATTAGAGAGTATTGACCCGAACCCCTCCTGTCTGGCGAGGCTGGCTATGTGAGCTTCTAGGATGAGTGCCGTGAGTTTGATTTGAATGGAGTTGGTGAGGGTGATATTTTGCTGGGTATGTTCGTTTGTTTGATTGCAGTTTTGGCGATTTCGACGTAAGTGTTTTGGCTCTTTTGTAATTCTTGGTCCTGTATGTTTTTCTGTTTTTCTAGAATTATTTTTTTCCTATAGGTGCAGTTGGCGGCAAGTGTTCTGTGGTCAAGGCCGCAATTCAAACATTTCTTTTGCATGTTGGGGCATTGCGTGTAGGTGTGATCATGAGCTGCACACTCTGAGGAGGATGGTATGCTGGCAGTGCATAGGTGGTTGGATGATCTTCGAATTTGTAACATTTGTAGCATATCAGGATGTGGGTATATTTTTCTTGCTCACACTGGCTGGGGGTGATACGGGTGTAAAAAATTACGAGACCTTCTTTAAGGATTCGTTGGGCTATTGTTCTGTCGGTTGTTATTATTATTTTAATGATGTGGGTGTAGTCCTTAATTTGAACTATTTCGTGTATGTGTATCCAGTTTTGCAGTCGCGTTATTTCGTCTTTGATCTCAGTCCGGGTTCGTCTGCCAATATAACGGTCAGGCTGTCTTATAAATATTGTGCGCTTGGACCTTAGATCTGGAGGGATGGTTGGTGCTAAGTTAATTTTCTTGAATGCGTCGGTTGCTTTTTAGCGCATTTTCTCATTTATAGAAAAAATGCACTATTGTGCTCGCCATGTCCGTCTGTCTGTCTGTCCGTCCGTCCGTGACTTCATGTTTTCGTCGACGAGAAAATCCGCTCACTGTCACTCACTGCAGTGAGTACTGAGTTATATTTTTTGGAGCTTAGTCGGTCTATTGCCGAGATGTCATCAGTGACAGCGTAAAAGTCTGTGGTGGTATCAGTTAGCCGGATAAGTGGGGCATTAACACGTTGACTCCGAAGTGGTACATATGCGTACCACGAAATGTATTTCTCCAGGACGAAGTGGTGCATAATTCAGGTTGCCTAAAATCGGCCAAATCCGAGAACAAAAAAGCCGATAACCCAATATATACTAGTTTATTTGTAGGTTCCGCTATAAAAATTCCATTTATTTTCTTTTTCCAGTACTTAAAATTCAATTAGGAAGTACCCCTATCATAAATTTTAGCCGGCCAACGCAATTGAGAAAAACTAAGTCACGGAATTTGTCCGGAAAAAATAACCGTCTGGCAACCCTGTTTAAAACAGTACAAACAATGAAATAATAGTACAAGATGAAGCAATCGTAGTCAACTTGTTAAGGTCCTCAAATGTGGTCTGGAAGATTTGTGAACGGTCAATTGTAAGTCTGGGGTCAATTTTCTTGAGTTGAATTCTGTAGGTGGGTGGTCATGAGTGAGCGAGTTGATTGGATGTTTGTGATGAGAATTTGGGATGAGATGAGGATGAATATGGATGTTTTTTGGTCATAGAGGGTAGTCTTGGTCGTGAGGGAGGAGGGCCAGATCCGCGAGCTCCCTGAGGCAAGCCCTGAGAGCCCGGGTCCCGAGACCTCCCCCGCTCAGGAGGGAGAGACATAAGGTGGGACCCGCGCGAAGTCACAAAATCCTAGTGGCAGGAAATACCTTTGCAGGAGGTTGGGTCCAATCTCTGGGCACAAGGCACGTTTTACAAGCACTTCACAACAGGGTAGTCACGAGGGGCCACCCTGTTATCTGGGCCACATGTAGAAACTGTCACTTCCACATGTGGCCAATATTGTTGCGCCACCTTGGGCCAACATGGGCCCCTTCAAAAATTGTTACTAGGGTCATACCCGTACGGAGTGCATTTCTCGTGTTGTGAGGGCTCGTACTCTCCACGTTTGAGCATATTTGTTGGCATCTCAGTGCGGCTTGTACCCCTTGTATCTGCGACTGGTTGCAAAGAAACCGCATTCGTGAGCCCGCATGATTGGACATATGCACTTCATCAAACTACATTAAACCTTTGATTGTGAACTCGGCACAAAATGTAGGATAATGAATAAAGTTCCAGGAATGAATTCCGTTGCTAGCCATCTCATAATAGATCGCAGTTACTGGCCACCAAATTCATGTGCGCACAGTCGACAAGTGAAACTCTGCTGTTTCTATCTGCTATGATAGAAACAGCAGATATATATTCTATGATATTGGATGCACGATGATAGAGGCCCGAGCCTAATCTGAATTGAGGCCCAGCTCTGAGGGCTCAGGCCGGTCGTCGGCTGTTACGCTCTAATCGTAATGCTGGCCTTGTGGCTTTGAGAGTTCTTTTTTAAATGCTGTTCTAAACGGGATTTTTTAATTCATATTACTTTATTTCAAATTTTCATGTTTGCTGAGAAAACTATTACATTTAGCTATTAACAAGTTTCAAAGATTATTTATCGCAAAAGACTGAACTAATCTGTTTGAACGATTCAAATCTTGTACAGTTTTACAGGATGCCATCATCTTCCTTGCTCGCTACCTATGCTTACATGGCAAACTGACCATCTCGATATGTCATCACAACCATGCATTACCTTTGGCCCAGTGGCTAAAGTTCAGAGTACCAAGATTGAAGCAGAGAAGTGCTGGTTCGATCCCAGCTCTGTGCGATAATTTCTGGTCAGAATCGGCAATTAAGGAGGCCGGACGGTTAAGCAAAGCACAATTGGAGCAGTGAGTTGCTTCTTTGAGACCGCAACAAGCTGTGAATGTTCAGCGATGGTGAGAACCAGCAACAGGTCAAACACTGCAACCGCTGTACCATACTATTATTTTCTATAAACTTTTTTCTCAGCAATGTCAAGTTGGCCAGCCAGCAGAAAAACAGAATTGAAGGATGAAACTAACATCAATTTTTCCTTCCTTCCATGCAGGGTTAACCTGTCGGGTAAACAAGCTGGTCTTTACGGAAGAAGAAACCAAGCCTCGTCAGTGCGATCTGTCAAGTGATCAATATGCCACCTGAACATTGAACAGTGAAACTAGGTTTTCTTCAGGAACACTTTTTTTGCTTGGTTGAAACAGTGTGATCATTATAAGTTCATATGATAAAATAATATACGTTTAAAAATTACTTTTTAAAGACAACACTTCAATAGAATCCAGTGTATCCTGGATTCAGTACAATTAATTTCTCATTTTATTTTCGAATATTAAAAAAGAAATTTTTCAATTTTTTCATGTAACAAAAAATTTTTCTCAAAATTATTTATTCTGTTAATTGATTTAAGCATTGCCTCCGACTTCCCACAAGTGTGCAAAATTTCAGATCAATTGGACAGGTAAAAGTGTGTCAAACATCAGTTATAAGATTTGTAGCTGACAAAATTATTTTTTCAAAATTTTTTTAATATTGAAATTTTTTTTATTTTAAAATAATTTATTTTGTCATTTGATTCATGCATTGTCTCTAACTTTACGCAAGTGTGCAAGATTTCAGATCGATAGGATAAGTAGAAGTGTATTAATTTCGATTATACGATTTGTAGCAGACAGACAAACAGACAAAATATACGTTGAAAAATTACTTTTTAAAGACAACACTTCCAAAGAATCCAGTGTATCCAATCTTACAGAAGTACAATGAATTTTTCATTAGATTTTCGAATATTAAAAAAATTAATTTTTAAATTTTTTGACGACATAAATTTTTGTAATATATAATTTTTTAAATTATTTATTCTGTTAATTGATTCATGCATTGCCTCCAACTTCACACAAGTGTGCAAAATTTCAGATCAATTAGACAGGTAAAAGTGTGTCATATATCAGTTATAAGATTTGTAGCTGACAAAATTATTTTTTCAATTTTTTTAATATTNATACACTCTACACTCGTTCTACGCCTTTGCTGTGGTTAGATTATACATGTATAATTGTGCGCAGTAATTGTGCCCATTACAACACGTACCCAGTGACCCACAGCGCTATACACTCTACACTCGTTCTACGCCTTTGCTGTGGTTAGATTATACATGTATAATTGTGCGCAGTAATTGTGCCCATTACAACACGTACCCAGTGACCCACCGCGCTATACACTCTACACTCGTTCTACGCCTTTGCTGTGGTTAGATTATACATGTATAATTGTGCGCAGTAATTGTGCCCATTACAACACGTACCCAGTGACCCACAGCGCTATACACTCTACACTCGTTCTACGCCTTTGCTGTGGTTAGATTATACATGTATAATTGTGCGCAGTAATTGTGCCCATTACAACACGTACCCAGTGACCCACAGCGCTATACACTCTACACTCGTCCTACGCCTTTGCTGTGGTTAGATTATATAATTGTGCGCTGTAGTTGTGCCCATAACAACACGTACCCAGTGACCCACAGCGCTATACACTCTACACTCGTCCTACGCCTTCGTTGTGTTTAGATTATATAATTGTGCGCAGTAGTTGTGCCCATTACAACACGTACCCAGTGACCCACAGCGCTATACACTCTACACTCGTTCTACGCCTTTGCTGTGGTTAGATTATATAATTGTGCGCAGTAGTTGTGCCCATAACAACACGTACCCAGTGACACACAGCGCTATACACTCTACACTCGTCCTACGCCTTTGCTGTGGTTAGATTATACATGTATAATTGTGCGCAATAGTTGTGCCCACAGCATCACGTAATTACGTTACATTCTAAGATCTAAGTGATTACCACTGATTCTGGTGATAGTGAGGGATAGTAATGCTATTTATTCAATGATACCTTCAAACCATTCCCAGAATATCGAAGGTCATGTGAAACTAGATAATATTAATAAATTAATATTAAAATTATAAATATGTGAACTATTTTATATTTATCGAACTTCCGGTCACCGTCATGATACGGAGCAGACATAAACTTTTCAGCTTCCTGAAACTATACTTAGTCATCATTTATTTCAACGGCGCGAAACTGTAAAGACATTATTCTTGGTACAGTCATCATGAGGCGCAGACATCATTCTTGTCATGGCACCATATACTGCTGACACTGGATTGTAATAATAATATTTTATCCTAATATCCTCTGATTCATAATTATTCCTCAGCATCGAGCTTTGAAACAGGCTCAGTGAAAGTTTTCTTTCTTTATTTTTCCATTCGTGTCATTAAGTTATTTTCTTGTGCACTCATAAATTCACTTTCCTTTGAATCAAACCTCGAATTTCAATCCAAGCCAAATGGCTTCAAGTATTATTATTAAGTATTTATTATTATTATTATTATATTATTATTATTGTTATTATTATTATTATTATTATTAAGTAGTATCAAGCTTCAAGTGTGGCTGCCAAGGTGTGAATTCATTATCAGAGGCCGCAGATAGTCGCGAGCGCCAAAACATTTTGAATTTCGGTTTGTTTATATGATACACGCTGTCAAATATATAAGGAAGTCTCTTGATCGCGAGACCTAAATATATAAGGAGTATGAGAATTGAACATTCTGGTCGAGTAAAATCCACGACAGCCACTGTGATGATCATGTATCGGACCTCTCTAAACTTTGCACAAGTGTTCTACTGTCGTGCAACCTCTACCATCAAATTAACCTTTCTTGGCTCCTAGTGTTCTACTGCCGTGCAATATCTCCCGTCAAATTAACCTTTCTTGGCTCCTAGTGTTCTACTGTAGTGCAACCTCTACCCTCAAATTATCTTTTCTTGGGTCTTAGTGTTCTACAGCTATGCAACCTCTACCATCAAATTAACCTTTCTTGGCTCCTAGTGTTCTACTGCCGTGCAACTTCTACCCTCAAATTAACCTTTCTTGGCTACTAGTGTTCTACTGCCGTGCAAACTCTACCCTCAAATTATCCTTTCTTTGCTCCAAGCAGTCTACAACCGTGCAGCATCTACCCTCATATTATCGTTATTGGCTTCTAGTGTTCTACTGCCGTACAAGCTCTAATTTAAATTTATCTCCCTGCACCTTCTCGCAACGTTACCGTGACGTCAACTCAGCTCCAAGCGTCTGTCAAGTTTTTTTTACACTAGTAGATTCTTCACAGATCTAGTAATTTGTTTAAAAAAATGTGGAATAATCCTATCGTGTGTTTCGTACTTGAATAAATCTTTTATAAATTCCTAGCCATTCTTCAGTAAGACACTTTATGAGACCTAAATTCCACAGTGAAAAAGGTTTATTTTCTATCGATGGGCATTGATAAAATTTACGTCATCGGTTCAACATAACAAATTCGACTAATGCTAGGTTGGCTGGATTCGAACGTTGAATTTAAACGTCAAACTAACGTCCTCGCATCAACGTTTGATTGTGCCTGGAAATCAACCCAATGTAATAAATACATCTTCAGTTCTCCTACAAAAAATTTTTGGTTGTTAAATTTCCAACAGTAGTTTTTCTTCGTATAGTTTTGTGATTGCTGTATCAACGTTGAATCGTGACTGCAAGATTCGTCAGACATTTTTCGAAACTCACACATAAAAATTCGTGACAACCATCGTTTCAGTGCCCAGCAGTATGCAATAAAATTCTATAACATAGTTTATTGCTATGCAACTGGCATAATAGACCAAAAAATACAACTCTTCGATACAGAATAAAAAATGTCAGCCTGCGATCCCATCTGCGTGGCATATTATATAGGCTCGTTATCAACTGATGAACTTCGCCAATAATACGAATATGTGTAACATAAACTTTATCACAATCGATTCGAGCAATATATAGAGATAGAGTTTTAGTTGAATTGTTTTAACCCGTGTGAAAACATTGAAGTCGCCAGGTAAATGTTGAATTCTGATGTATGGAAATCAAAAACATTAAATTATGTCATTAAATGCTGAACCAATCATAATTCACAATTTTTCATTACCTTAGTCGCATCAGACCTATACATGAGAAATATAAAAGTAATATTAGGTTTAACTGTACATATCTTCATAATGCATCGGGTTGAAGGTCAATCTCATCACTGCGATAATATGCAGACTCTTAGCTCCAGGCCGCCTGCCACTTGACCCAGTGAAGTATCTTCTTGCTATTATCAATAATATCTTCTTACTTCGAGTGCAAGTTGAGCTATGGAATAATCTTCCCCCAAATAAACGAAAGAATGAACTATTAATTGCAAAATCATCTCCTTGCATGTCGATACTGACTATTTGCCAAAATCATTATTGCATACTTTTATGTTTATCTGAAAATATAAGACATTGTGCAAGACCAGATGTACTCAAGAACAACGCAAAGCCCAAGGTGAAATAATGTTTGCGCATAACTTTATCGAGTTTTATTAGCGTACTCTAACATNAACCGAACCTAACCTGCGCCGCCTGTTGCGGTAGGGCCTGTTGCGCTCCGGCGCTGTGAAGCAGTGGCTGTGTTGTGCAAAGCGGATTTACTGTTAGCCGGAGTTACCCACAGCTCATTGATCTGAGGCTATGTGTAGATATTGCATGCTGATGGTTGGCGTTGGGCCCAGGGCCTGTTTACGAGTCAATTTTGTTACCCACGGCTGCGCTCCCGCCGTCAGCATGCAAAGTAAATGGTGCTCTCAAGCTCGTCTAGATGAAACATAACTATTCGGTTTATCGTTTGAAAATGTTAATTATATTCAATGGTGAAGTACGCTTGAATTAACATTGATGAGCGATGAAAAGTGAGAGCAGAAGTAATTCTGCTACGAATTGAGAAGTAATTCGCTAACATGTGACGCGAATTAGGAAAATAAGGAGGGCTGATTTTGACATTTTTATCTTTCATAATATGCGTAAGAAAATTGCCCATTTTGTTCAATGAATTTATTTTCCAATAAAGACTTAAGGCTCAGATCTTATGTTCAAACATTGAAGATCAAATCATGAACGAAGACATAACTTACTGAGATAATGTATTTTTTTATTATTATAGCCCAATATGTGTTTGTGATGTATGTATGTGACTTTTAATAAGGCTTTTGTACAATACAGTGTTTGAAAAGTTCTGAGTCGGCATAATCACGAACGAGCTCTCCGCATCTGCAGGGCGAGTCTGTGTGGCCTGAAGACTATTATAGTCAGGTATCTACAACTCGTGCCTCTTTAAGATGTCCTGAAGCCTGAATGGTTGTAATGTACCTAGCACTTCGGACTCTCGATGTCTATCATAAGGTTATGTTTGGAAGTCAGTTACCTGCCACTCGTGCCCCTCGATGTCTATCTTATGATAATGTATAGCAGTCAGTTACCTGCCACTCGTGCCCCTCGATGTCTATCTTCAAATAATGGATGATGGCATCGGAGTGATGGTTCTGGGACAGCAACGTGTCGAAGGTCTTCATGACAGCGACGGCACTAAGGATCTGGCCCACAATTGGACGTGAGGAGAGAGCTTCTGGATGGAAGTGCTGCCGGTACCGGGATTTTTCCTGATGGGCAAATTATAATTGTCGAAAAACTTGGACAACATAATTTATAATGATTACCCTGAAACAACATTCATCTATGAAATATTGCATTTGCAGTGAGTGACGGCGTTTAATTGGTGTCGTAAAACCACAAACAAAATTAATAGAATTTGAGGCTTCACATTTCAAACGTGCGATGGAAACAACATCAATTGATATTCATTTCATTATCATTTCATATCACCACCAGACCAGGTGCCAGCCCATCATGTATATGGTGGGGTCTTTAAGCCATAATTGGACAAAATTAATAGAATTTGAGGCTTCACATTTCAAACGTGCGATGGAAACCACATCAATTGATATTCATCTCATTATCATTTCATATCACCACCAGACCAGGTGCCAGCCCATCATGTATATGGTGGGGTCTTTAAGCCATAATTGGACGAGTGCAATGGAATTTGAGGCTTCACATTTCAAACATGCAATAAAAGCCACATTAATTGATATTCATCTCATTATCATGTCATATCACCGCCAGACCAGGTGCCAGCCCATCATGTATATGGTGGGGTCGTAGAGATGTGCCTCGCAGTTCAGCAGCGCCGCAATACTGTCCTCGAATGTCACGTCGTCCGCCACGCCGAAGCTGTAGACCAAACACGCGTTCCGGGGCGGTGCCACCGCCGTGTCCAGGCACACCTACAAATAAAACCAGTATTCATTTAATTTACAAAATATACCATTTTTAATGCCCATTAAAAATTTCCTTAAACTGTGAAATCTTCGGCATATTGCTGCGTGAATTGAACAGCAACATAAATCATTAATTCGGGACAACAATTATTGTGCAATCAAGGACATAAGAGTCATGTGCAACAATGAACATTTATTTACAATCCTTCAATTCTAAGTCCAACTTAGGAGTGAAAAGTAGAGTTTTTTTCTGTGTTGAGTCCAATTTTGAGCATAGTTAATTTTCCAAATTCGATTTCATCAGTAGTCAGATTATTCCTAACAAAATGTTCAAACACATGGTTGGGCTGATAATTCAGTCATATTTTTGATCCTATATTTATCAAATTCACAAACAAAATTGAAGTTGATTTTTTTTCAAATTAAAGCAGTGATTAATTAAAACCCTTAGATAAACTCTTAAGGCTGAACTATCTTCTCGTGAAAATGTAATGTTATTTTTTATACTAATAGACTAATACTGACGTCTTTATTGCCTTCGTATCGCCGAGTGCAGCCCTGGCCTCCCATGTTGACCAGCTTGCGGCACCGCAACGACGGCTTCTTGAAGTCTGCGTACAGCTGCTGGACCGAGGCCCTGGCATGCAGTCCAGCTCCTGGTCCTGGGGCTGTCCACAGCATGGTAGCTAATGCGCCCAATGAGTACCAGGGCTGTCCAGCTGCTGGGTTGAGCTGAGACAATCCTGCAGCTAACGACCTGTTGTTGCATCCAGCGTACAAATTATTATAAGGCATTGCTGTGAGAAACTCATAATGATAATGTCCTCAGAAGGATGCCGCGGCTCTATTACGGCACAGATATAATAACAAGTAATCGGAAGTAATCGGATCTGATTGTTGTTTATGTTGCACTTCTCAAGCGCAGCCTTTGTATGTACCCATACAACGCTGAATTGAATGTGGCGTAAAAAAAGGAAAATGATAATTTTTAAAAATACACTGTTCATCATATTCTAATCACATATTAATCATGTGTTCTAAAACCGCACTGTTCCGAACAATTTACCAGCTCATTATCAGCCATTTACTTTTAGTTATGACAATGTTTTAGTTATGTCAATCCCTAACATAATTAAGGACGATTTTTGGTCAATTCTAATTATGCGCTGCAAACATATGGGTGCATGCACTCTCACTTACGCAGTTTATTTTCAGTTTTGGAGCAAGAAATCTATTGCATTTAGCCTTCATCACACGTTTGAAATGTGAAGCCTTACATCAACTAAACTTTCACTAGTCCAGTACTAAAGTGATTTCGAGATAAGAGATATTTTTTCGTACGAGTCCGGTATCCTATACGTGAACGTTCTTTAAATGAAC